AATGTGGTATATTTATACAATGGAATACTACTCAGCCATAAAAAAAGACAAAATTGTCCCATTTGCAACAACATGGATGGACCTGGAGGGTATTATGTTAAGTGAAATAAGCTAGAAAGAGAAAGACAAACACTGTATGATCTCACTCATATGTGGAATATAAACCAACACATGGACAGAGAAAACTGTATTGTGGTTACTAGGATCACTGGGGGTAGAGGGTGGGCACAAGGGGTAAAGGGAGACATGTATATGGTGATTGACAAACAAAAATGTACAACCAAATTTCACAATGTTATAAACTATTAAGACAGCAATAAAAAAAATTAAAAATAGAACTACCATTTGATCCAGCAGTCCCACTTCTGGGTACATATCAGAAAGAAATGAAATCACTATTTCAAAGAGATATATGCACTTCTGTGTTCATTGCAACATTATTTACAATAGCCAAGACATGGAAACAACCTAAATGTCTGTAGACAGATGAAAAGATAAAGAAAATTTGAGGGCTGGCCGGGGGGTATAGGGGTTAGGTGCGCGCGCTCCGCTGCAGTGGCCGAGGTTCACAGGTTCCTATCCTGGGCGCACACCAACGCACCACTTGTCAAGCCATGCTGTGGCGGCGTCCCATGTAGAGTGGAGGAAGATGGGCATGAATGTTAGCTCAGGACCAGTCTTCCTCAGCAAAATAAGAGGCGGATTGGCGACAGATGTTAGCTCGGGGCTGATCTTCCTCACCAAAAAAAAAAAATTGTATAAAAGAAAATTTGGTATAACATACACAATGAAATATTATTCAGCCATAAGAAAGAAGGAAATCCTGCCATTTGTGACATGGATGGAGCTTTCGGGTCCTTATATAAGTGAAATAAGTGAGACAGAAAACATTTATATGATCTCACTTATATGTGGAATCTAAAAAAGCTGAACTCATAGAGACAGAGAGTAGAATGGTGGTTATCAGGGGCTGTGGAGTGGAGGAAATGGGGAGATGCTGGTCAAAGGGTACAAACTTCCAGTTAGAAGATGAATAAGTTCTGAGATCTAATGTGCAGTGTGATGACTATAGTTAACAATACTGTTATATACTAAATACTTGAAAGTTATTAGGAGAATAAATCTTCAGTGTTCTTGCCACAAAATAAAAAAAGGTAATTACATGAGGTAATAGAGGTTTTAACTCACCCTATTATGGTAATCCTTTCATGATATATTCATGTATCAAATCATCACGTTGTATACCTTAGACATGCAAGATTATATGTTAATTATATAGCAACAAAGCTGGGGAAAAAAGAAATGAAAATGTGGTATAGACATACAATGGAATGTTATTCAGTCTTGAAAAAGAAGGAAATCCTTCCATATGGACATGGATATGGATGAACCTGGAAGACATCAATGCTAAGTGAAATAAGCCAGTCACAGAAGGACAAATACTGCATAATTCCACTTATTTGTGGTGTAAGATAGTCACAGAGGCAGAGAAGAAAATGGTGGTTTCCAGGGGTTAGGGGTAGGGGGAAATGGGTAGTTGTTCAATGGGTATAAAGTTACAGTTATACTAGATGAAGAAGTTCTAGAGATCTTCTCTACAACATTGTGCCTATAGTTAACAATACAGTGTTGTGCACTTAAAAAATTAAAAGGAAAGTACTTGTGCTAAGTGTTCTTTCCACACACACAAAAAAAAGCAAGGAGACATGAGAAGTCTTTTGGAGGTGATGGATATGTTATTACCTTGATTGTGGTGATGGTAACACAGGTGTATGCATATGTTCAAGCCCACCAAAATGTATACATTAAATATGTGCAATTTTTCATATACTAAGTATGCCTCAGTGAAGCTGGAAAAAAAAGGGAGATATGATCAAGGAACACAGAATAAATACAAGGAAGAGAAAATGATGAAATAGTTTATAGAAACTGGAGCAATAGACAAGTGGCCATTAAATAAAATGTGGGAAGAAAAAATTAAAAATGCATAAATAAAGACTAATATATGGAACTTGGGAAGTAGTGTGTGAATATTCAGAGTCTTCATGTCATTTTTCTTTTTAAATTTTATTTTAGGTATGAATTTATTTAAAAACAAAAATATGTTCTCACATCACCAAGAAAATTTCTCTACCAGGCACATCACAGCAAATAAATTCCCAACAAAAGTGATCAATTTATCACCCTTTGGCAATCAAGGTAAAAATTATATATAAAGACATAAAATAAGTATATAATTATTTAGAATAGCTTTTGTACTATGGTTTTTTATTTTACTAGTTTTACATCTTACTTTTTATTCAGAAATATCTTAGGTAAATCCTTGTAAGCCTGAGAATTAAAAGACTTTAATTTATCCTTTTTACTGGCATTATAATATGTCATAGTATAGAATTCTTCATTCAATTATTCTTCTATTAAAGGGCATGGACTTTTTTAGCTTTTCATCACTACTAAATGTGTCCATGAACATGTATTTTTTATATATTGGTGCTTTTATCCATTTGAGGTAGAGTCCCAGGATTGAGATTGTTAAAGCATACCTGGATTTTTAATGTTAAAAGATACTTCCAGATTGCTTTCCTAAAAAGCTATTAAAATTAACATTTTCCCCAAAAACCTTGGGGGAAAAAATACTTTTCTCTGCATAAGCATCAGCGATACAGGTTTATGTTTTTTTTGTTTGTTTTATTTATGCCCATCTGAGAGTTATTGTCAGATTTTATTTTAATTTTTTCCATATTTGTTAGTGTTCTTTTACTGTGTAACTACCTCAAAACTATTTGGCTTAAAATAGTAACTATATAGTTCATGATCTGGGAGTTGGCAATGTAGACTGGTTTTGGCTGGGCTAACTTATGCATCGTTGGTCGGCTTGTGGTCAGTGGCTTCACTCACATTTCTGGCAACGGCTTGCTGTTGTTTGGGACAAGGAGAGTATGTAGCTGGGGTGCATCAAGAGATAGAAACCGCACTAGTTGTTTGAAAAGAGAACAAGGAGGAAAAAGCTAGTTGACTAAGTATAAAGCTGTTAACTAGGTAACTGAAAATGTAAAAAGAATTCTAAGGTAACATGGAGGAAGCAATTTCGGGAAGAAGTTGCCACTCCTAGGGCTGAAGGAGACTGAGTGGAGGATGCAGCTTGGCTGGTGCCGGTGTCTCTGATTCTCCAGGAGGGTCTCAGACATACCTCTAAAGAGTGGGCAATGCTAGTGTCTCAGGTGGTGAGAGTTTAAATATAACTGGTTCTCTAAGTGTTGGAAAAAATACAAACCATTTATGTCATGGAAAGAACTTTTGCTTCTGGGATAAAGAAACATTTCTGGGGTGATGGTCGGTCACAGGAACCAAAAAGAGACATGAAACTCTCAGGAAGCCCAGTGGTAACCAAATAGGAGAAAGGTGGTTTGGGAGCTAAGAGAATATAAATAAATAAACTTTCCAAGTGGCACCGGAGGTGACCTGGCAACATATCTCTCATCGTCCAGCAGATTAGCTTAGGAGTTGTCATGTTGTAACTTCAGGTTCTAAGAGCAGCATGTGGGCAAGCCTCAACGTACAAAGAATTTTGAGGTCTCTGCTTGCATTTGTTTGCTTTTGTCCCAGTCACTAAAGTCATATAGCCAAGACCAGAGTTGTGTAGGAGGACACGAATACAAGAAGTCAAGAACACCTTGAGGCCATTATTGAAACAAATCCACCTCAGTGTTCCTCCTGGTTGCAAATATTCATGACCCCTACACACATGCAAAATACATGTGCTCTTCCCAGAACCCCACAAATTCTCATTAAAATTTGGCATCAGGGCCAAAGACCACAATCTTTTGATCCATATTCCTTTTCAGAGGCAGCTTCTATGATGTGACTTCCCACAAAACACACACAAAATACAATAGCAAGACAGGGATAGGCTCCACAATAGGCACTTCCCTACAAAAAGGCAGGAAAAAGCAGAGGCACATAGCAGTCAATAATCCATATGTTTAGGTGGATTATCCAATTACCTTATATTTTAATTATATTATAATTTTCTCAATAAAAATATGCATGCAAAACAAATGAACCAGGATGTTGGGAGATCCCAGGACGGAATGCAGACTGGGACATATGGAACTGACTGTGTTACAAATGTATTACAGGTGGTGTCAGCATCATGATGGCATAAGATACACCTAGCTTCCCCCGCTCCCCCAACAACAAAAATTTGGTGTCCATTCATGAACAAAAGTGCTTTTGTGGGAGTTGTGGGATCCACCATCATATGCCAAGGGACCTGGAGGAGTCTCACCCACCTGCATCAGGTAATAGGCAGACAGACCTCCATCCCAGCTGTGGACCCTGCAACAGCTCACAAACTGGTTCTAGCCCCTCTCCACTGCAGTGTGGGAGCACCCGGAGAACGCTGACTTGGTCAGTCACCTACAGACCAGAGAGCTTTTGTATAAGTCCAGGTTTCCAGAGGAGAACTTGCAGCACTCCGCTGGAGTGAAAAATAAGAGTTTGGACACAGTGGAGTGGATGAAAGGAACAGTTTGACTTTGCCCACATTACACTTCCCCCAAGGTGGCACAGCAAGGGCCAAGGGAGACCTTCTCATCCCATGATTTCTCCTGTGGGGTGGAATGGAGAGCAAGTGAATGAGCACCAGGCTTCCCCAGCTGTGTGGGACACCATCGAAGACACTCATTTTTCTCTTGCAGCATCCAGAGTACTAAATTGTGGGGTGAGAGGAGATCAGGAGAGTGGCAGATAAGACTCTCAGAGATCATTAAGGGGATGTGGTTCCTGCTGACTGTTTTGTGGACTCCAGCAGGAAGCCTCCCCATGAGCTGCTGGGAAAGCCTCACCTGCTGATCCCCACAGCTGGCCATGGGCACCCTCAGTGACAGACGTGCCTCACCCACACCTCCCCCCACTCTGCAGCCAGCTGCCTGTGCTTGCCTCTGAGGGTGGTAGTGAGAGCAAGCTTTCATGGATAGCTGGGGAGCACTTGCAAAAAGCAAGCCAGGGTCTGTGGGCCAGAGAGAAACCACAAACTTGAGCTGTAGTGCCATCTTAGGGAAAGCAAAAGGGTGGTGATATCTCATTGTAGTTTTGATTTGCATCTCCCTAAGTAATTAGTGATGTTGAACATCTTTTCTTGTGCATGTTGGCCATCTGTATATATTCTTTGGAAAAATGTCTGTTCATATCCTCTACACATTCTTTGATCAGGTTGTTTGTTTTTTTGTTGTTGACTTGTATGAGTTCTTTATGTATTTTGGAAATTAACCCCTTGTCCGGTATATGATTTGCAAATATTTTCTCCCAGTTAGTGGGTCGTCTTTTCATTTTGTTGATGGTTTCCTTTGCTTTGCAGAAGCTTTTTAGTCTGATGTAGTCCCATTTGTTTATTTTTTCTTTTGTTTCCCTTGCCTGAGTAGACATGGTATTTGACAAGATGCTGCTGAGACTGATGTCAAAGAGTGTACTGCCTATATTTTCTTCTAGGAGTTTTATGATTTCAGGTCTTACATTCAAGATATCACCTCACACCCATCAGAATGGCTATAATTAACAAGAGAAGAAATAACAAATGTTAGGATATAGAGTAAAGGGAACTCTCATACACTGCTGGTGGGAATGCAAACTGGTGCAGCCACTTTGAAAACAGTATGGAGATTTCTCAAAAAACTGAAAATAGAAATACTATATGATCCAGCTATCTCACTACTGGGTATTTATCCAAAGAATGTGAAATCAACAATTCAAAGAGATTTATGCACCCCTATGTTCACTGCAGTATTACTCACAATAGCTAAGACATGGAAGCAACCCAAGTGCCCATCAACTGATGACTGGATAAAGAAGATGTGGTATATATATACAATGGAATACTACTCACTCGTAAAAAAAGACAAAATCGTGCCATTTGTGAAAACATGGATGGACCTTGAGGGTATTATGCTAAGCGATATAAGCCAGACAGAGAAAGACAAACACAATATGATTTCACTCATACGTAGAAGATAAGCAAACACAGGGACAAAGAGAACAGATTAGTAGTTACCAGAGGGAAGGGGAGGGACGGCAAAAAGGGTAAAGGGGCACATATGTAGGGTGACGGATAAAAACTAGACTATTGGTGGTGAACACGATAAAGTCTATACAGAAAGTGATATAGAATAAGGTACACCTGAAATTACACAATGTTATAAGCCAATATGACCTCAATAAAATAATTAAATAAATTTTTTAAAAGGGAGGCTGTCAGCACTCTGCCTATTGTGTTGCGGGATCCAGAGATGATATACAAGCTTAAGGATTCTGCCACAAGAGGGAGCAAGAAGCGTGAAGCAGGTGTATCTATTCAAGGTCCGAGAAAGCCTCAGAATCTCTAGCATGACTGATGGAAGGTATTTCTTCTCTGAAGGCAGTTAGTAAAGATTGGAGGAGGTGACTGCGACTACAAAAGACAGCAACACAAAACTCCAAGGAACATGAAAAATCAAGGAAACATGACAGCACTAAATGATCATAATACTCTTCCAGTAACCAATCCCAAAGACATGGAGATGTGCTATTTACCCAATAAAGAATTCAAAATAGCTGTTTTATTTTATATATACTACTACTAATTATATAATATTGTTAATATGTATACATAATAATTATATATAGTGGAATACTATTCAGCTATTAATAAAGAAAGAAGGAAATCTTGACATTTCTAACAACATGGATGAATCTTAAAGGCATTACGCTAAGTGAAATAAGTCAGACAGAGAAAGACAAATACTCTATGATATCACTTATATGTGGACTCTAAAAAAGCTGAACGCATGGAAACAGAGAGTAGAATGGTGATTTTCAGGGGCTGGGGGATGGGGGAAGTGGGAAGATGTTGTTCAAAGGGTACAGATTTCCAGTTAGAAGATGAATAAGTTCTGAGAATCTAATGCACAGCATGGTCATTATAGTTAACAATACTGTATTATACACTTGAAAGTTGCTAAGAGAGTAAGTGTTAAATGTTCTCACTACAAGAAAGAAATGGTAATTATCTGACGGTGGAAGTGTAAACTAACAGTATGGTAGAAATCATTTTGCAATATGTAAGGGTATCAAATCAACACATTGTACACCTTAAACTTAGAATGTTATGTCAAATGTATCTCAATAAAGCTGGAAAAAAGACAAAGAATAAATGTATGACATAACTTTACTGGTGGGGTGGACAAAAATGAGCAGCTTGAAGTCACTGGAAAAGAGAGCTTTGAGTGGATACTGTAGAGCTAAAGACACAAACAACTGTACATAAATATTGTACTCTGGTTGGTAAATTTGTTCCTCATAGAGGTACAAATTAGCAATTATTTTTAAAAAACAGTTCATTAAGGCACAATTTGCATACCATAAAATTCATCCATCTTAATTGTATGAGTCAAGGATTTTAGTAAATTTCCTAGGTCTGCAATTATCATCTTAATTCAGTTTTAAAACATTTTCAAGATTCCAGTAGTATCCCTCATGACAGTTTAGTTAAGTTAGTTCCCACTTCCAGTCACAGGCACCCACTAATCTGCTTTTTGTGTCTGTAGATTTGCTTTTTCTGGACATTTCACATGAATGGAATCATACACTATGTGTGTGTAGCTTTTAATTAGCATGTTTTTGAGGTTCATCCATATTGTAACATGTACCATATTTCATTCCTTTCTATTCTCTTATATGACTGTAGCACATATTCTTTATCCATTCACAGATTGATGATGTTTGGGTTTATTCCACTTTTTGGCTATAATGAAGAATGTGGCTCATGTGTTGGTCTTTGTGAAGACATACGTTTTCATTTCTCTTAGGTGGATTCCTAGGAGTAGAGTTGCTGTGTTATATGATAAACTTATGTTTAACTATTTTTAAAAATGCCAAACTGTTTTCCAAAGTGACTGTACCATTTCACATACACACCAGCAAGGTATGAAGCTTTCTAATTCTCCTCATCCTTGCCAACATTTGCCTGTTGTCGGTTCTTTTGATTATAGACGTTCTGTTGGATATGAAATGACATTTTATTGTGGTTTTAATTTACATTTCCCTGATGAAAAATGATGTTGAGCATCTTTACATGTGGTTATTAGCCATTCATGTATTTCCTTGGTGCAATGTCTTTTAAAATTTTTTGCCAATTTGTAAAGTTATGTTAAGTTCTTAAAATTTTAGGAGTTCTTTATACATTCTGGACAGAACTCCTTTATTGGATACATGATTTGCAAATATTTTCTCACAGTCTATGGCTTGTCTTAACTTTCTTAGTGGCAGTCAAAAGTTTTAAATTTTGATGAAGCCTAATTTATTAATTTTTATTTTATGGATCTTGCTTTTAAACTTGTATTTAAAAAATGATTGCCTAATTCAAGGTTTCAAATTTTATGTTTTTTTCTAAGAGTTTTATAGTATAGCTATTATATTTAGGTATACAATTTATTTTGAGTTAATTTTTCTGTATAGTGGGAAATGAAGTTTCAGGATCATCTTTTTACAAGTGGGTATCCAATTGTCCCAGCACCATCTGTGAAAAGAGATGCATTCCATTGAATTAGTTGAAAATCAATTAGCTGTAATTATACGGGTTTACTACTGGAGTCTCAATTCTCTTCCTTAGCTCTATCTGTCTGTCGTTATGCCATTACCATGTTGTTTTGATAACTCAAAGTTTACAGTAAATTTTATAATTGGGAAGTGAATGCTCTACAGTTTTATTCACCTTTTACAAATGGTTTTGGCTATTCTAAGTCTTTTGCATTTCCATATAAAGTTTAGTTTCGGGTTGTTAATTTCTTTAAAAAAAAAAGCCTTCTGGAGTATTGATAGGGATTTTATTGAATCTATGTATCAACTTGAGGAGAATTGCCATCTTAAAAATAGGAGTGTTCTGAGAGTTCTGGTTCAAAATGGTGACATAGGAGACTCCTGAACTCACCTCCTCCCACTGACACACCCAATCTTTAGCTACATACAGAACAATTGCCTCTGAAAGAAATCCAGAAACTAGCTGAGTTGACTCCTATACATCAAATGAAAAAACCCACATAGAAATAAATAGGAGAGGCTGAGACACAATCTTACCAGAGACCCCACTCCTGGCACAGAGACACACAACAGGGAGGGAACTCACAAATCCCAGCTTCTCCCTGAGAAATGAAGATTTTGGACCTCACATCTGGTATCCCAATTTTTTTAAGACTTCCACCTGAGAGATGGGCCTTCAAAACATCCAACTCTGAAAGCCAATGCGGCTTGGATCCACAAGATCCACAAGGAAATAGTGAACTAGGAAATAGTTCTTGCAGGCAACCCAAGTGCCCGTCAATGGATGAATGGATAAAGAAGATGTGGTATATGTATACAATGGAATACTACTCAGCCATAAAAGAGATGAAGTGGTGCCATTTGCAACAGCATGGATGGACCTTGAGGGGATAATGCTAGGCAAAATAAGTTAAACAGAGAAAGACAAATATGTATGGAATATGTATGATTTCACTCATATGTGGAAGATACACGAACAAACACACAGATTAGGAGAACAGATTGGTGGTTACCAGACGGGAAGGATGGGAGGAGGGCAAAAGTCGTAAAGGGCACATATGTATGGTGATGGATGGAAACTAGACTTTTGTTGGTGAACATGATGTAGTCTGTACAGAAGCCTAAATATAATGATGTACACCTGAAATTTACACAATGTTATAAACCAATCTGACCTCAATAAAATAATTTAAAAAAAAAGAAATAGTTCTTAACCATAACCTTTCTTAACTCACCATGGCTTGCCCCCAGGGCCCAGTGCAGAGGCAGCAGACTGAAACCAATCTTTCCATGAAAGAAGCCTCTTTGCTTATCTTCAAAGCTGAGGCCTGAGGGGCAGGCTTCTAATTTAACACACATCTAGGGGCTGATCACAGTATTCTCCAGAGACTGGAGACCAGTGGGTACCATCTTCACACTCGCCCTCGGCCTCACTCCAGGTCACCAGCATCTCCTAGAAAGGAGCTTGTGCACAGATCTGGAGCCCCAGATTTTGTGGCTGCTGTCCAGGGGATGCACCCCTCTATCACCTGGCTCTGGTGGCCAGCAGGGCCTGTATTCATGAGTTCCACAGGACTATAACAAACAGAGAAACAGTTCTTAACTAGCTATCCTCCCAAGGCCCAACCCGGAGGCAGCAGACTGAAAACAGTCTTTTAATGAAAAAGGCCTATCTGCAGATGTTAAAAAGAACAGCTGAAGGTCAGGCATGAATTTAACACACATCTAGGGACTGACTATAATTCTTTCCAGAGACTGGGGAGGCCAGTAACGATGTAATGTACAGCATGGTGACTATAGTTAACAGTACTGTGCTGTATATTTGAAAGTTGCTAAGAGAGCAGATCTTAAAAGTTCTCGTCACAAGAAAAAAAATTGTTTAACTATGTGTGGTAATGGATGTTAACTTATTGTGGTGATCATTTTGCAATATATACAAATATCAAATCATTAAGTTGTACACTAAAACTAACACAATGTTACATGTCAATTATATTTCAATAAAATAAAGTGTTCTAATTCATTAACATTGAATTTATTTATTTAGATCTTTGATTTCCCTCAGCAATGTTTTGTAACTTTCAGCAGAAGGCTTGCCCCTCTGTTAAATTTATTATTATTTTATTCTTTTTGAGGCTATTGCAAATAAAATTGTTCCCCTAATTTAGTTTTTGGATTATTCTAGGCTCATATATAGAAATAAAATTGAGTTTTGTTTTAGATACCCAGCAATACAGTTTATGCAATTGTCTTTTTAATCAGTTAATTGAAGAAAATAGTAAACAAAAATGTATATTGTCACTTATATTTACCTATATAATCACATTGAAGGTGATTCCTTTTATTTCTTCCTTTATGTGGATTTGAGTTACTATGTGATGTCATTTTTTTTCAGCCGCAAGTGTTCCCTTTAGTATTTCTTTTAAGACATGTCTGCTAATATAACAACAAAATTTCTTAGTTGTTTTTGTCTAAGAATGTCTTTGTTTCATCTTTATTTTTGAGTGATAGTTTTACTGGGTATAAAATTCTTGGCTGTGAATTTTTGCTTTCAGCACTTGGCTTTCACCACTGCCTTCTGTTCTCCATTGTTTGTGATGAAAAGTCAGATATTAATCTTGTTAATAGCTTTATTAAGATATAATCTACATACCATACAATTCATTCACTTAAAGTGTGCAATTCGACGGCTTTTAGTACATTCACAGAGTTGTGCTTCCATCACCACATTCAACATTAGATCATTTTCACTACATGAAAAAGAAACCGCCACACTTCTTAGCCATCATCCTCCAGTCCTCTTCTGCCCTAGCCCTAGGCAACCACTGATCTAATTTCTGTCTTTAAAATTTGCCTATACTGGACATTTCATAGAAATGGAATCCTATAATATATGGCCTTTTGAGACTTGCCTCTTTTACTTAGCTCTGCTCTCCAAAATTATCCTTCTAAATGTATATATCTTTATTATCTTAATTAAATTAATGATCTCAAAAAATAATTTTAGTTATTTCAATTCCTTTACTATTATTTTATTGGCAACTAATTTACTATTTAAGTATTAAAAATAGTTATAAATGTGATCCATCTTACAGCTAACATATTTTCTGAATATTTCTAGAGGAAACTTATAAGGACTTTTCACCCCATGTGACTGAAACTTCAAAAGCACTTCACAGATCACCTAGGGCTGAGTCAAGCATTTATAAAACCATCCAGTTTCCTTCACTGGATAAAGAACCTTCAGGTAATTTTTAATATTCTTAGTGTACAATGTGATTTTTTAAATCAATAAAGCTTTAATAATATGGATATAACCAGATTGTACTAGCCTTAGTCCTATAACCAGTTTAGCAAAACATAAGTGAAAGTAAGTGCTGAATTGAGCTCATCTAATGTATACACATTCTTAGCGGATGAGTAGTGTCCCTGGCATGGCTCTTCCTTCCCCATCACCAACCTTCCTTTCTTGTTCACTGTTATAGATCCTGCAGATGACTGAGATAAACCCATCTTACAATCCTCTTCCTTATAGTTATATGTCCCTCTTTTGTCCAGTCCCAGGAATGGTCTGCAATAGAAAGACTTAACATGAGAGTTGATGGGAAAGAAAATTAACATTATGTTCATTTTTCCCTTTCCCTTCATTACTATCTACCCAGCCATCCAATGCATTAATCCGTTAATATCCATTAATATCATCTAAGGACTAATTTACAGACTCCGTTTCTTATCCATTGCTCCAGAGGCATTATATAATCATCACCCTAGTACATTTCCTACTGATATTGAGTTTGAACTTTTAAAAGAAATGTAGATGATTTTTCTTTGGTCTAGCATGTTCTCTAAAACCCAAAATAATTATATACGCTGTGAATATTTTTGTCAGTTTCCATTCTAACTCTACATCTTTATTCTTTCTCTCCTACCGTCATATCCATTGTCTACTTTTTACCATTCTGTGGATATATAATTCAGAGATAAAATAAATTTGACTGTTAACTGGAGTAAGACATAATTAGGCAAGCAAATGTTTGCTTTCCTAATTAAATTGATAATCTTTTAGTATATTTTAGGCAAATGTCATTGATTTCAGGTTCACCTGCTACTTGATATCACCTACAATGCTGCTATCCATTTATGTAGCTCCTAGTTTTACCTATAATTTGGGTTTCCTCTTCTAAGCCAAATCCTTCTCTTTGATAGAGGTATTAATTATAAGCAGTAATATTGCTAAAAGAAACAAGAGGAGGAGAATAAGAACTAAAAAATAGTCTGAATAATCCACTATCTAAATTTTTACTCCATGATTAGAGAGCAACAATAATGGTCTTCTTTTGTGGTTTTAATGGAAATGATGCTACCATAGATGTTTTTATTTTCCAAGAAAATGCCAAGCCTTTTAATCTAAAAATAATGGCACATAAATATTTTTTGAGCAAACATTTGCTTTAAGGAATTTGAGTTGAATGTTTCATTTCTCTGCAAGACATATTGTGGAAATTCAACACATTAATGTGAATTTTTCCCACTAACTTTAAGAAAGTACCATCTAAATGCCCCACAGTCTGCTTTTTATTTTAGTGTATTTTTCACCAAATGAGCATATTGGAACTCTTTTTATTATTACATAATTTTGTTTTTAACAGTGCTCAAAATATGTATCTTTACATATCTACATATGTATCTAAGCACCTCTCCTTCCATTCTAGCACTAGATTTTTCACTGTGGGAATATAAACTTCTTTTTTTAATGAAGATATGCTCTTTCAAATAGAGATAAAAACTTTATCTGAGAATATATCTATTTAATTGCTTAAGAATTTTTTTTACTGTCCTGTAAAAAAAGCTCTTTCTCTGAGATTTTTATATACGATAGATATTTCTATTATTTCTTTTTCTTGATTTGCACTCTTACTGGCTGTATTTATGAATATCAAATACCCTATAAGGAAAAACAAGAGAGAAAATATTTGTGTTGGTAAAGCTGCTTTATCTAAAATATTGAAAAAAATATAAGGAAGCTGTGCTTTAAAAGTGGATTAAGATTTATTTTAAATTTTTAAAAGTTGAAATCAGGTCATTTCTAGGATAATTTAATAACACTATTCTCATTTTTTAGGGCATCCAAAAAATTCAAACATAAACAAAAAAAATGTTAAACTTAAAAATACGCCTGCTGTGACCTCTACAGTTAGAAAACTTATCTATAAAGGTAAAGACTTACTGCTATACAAAGGTTCAGTACTATGATAGGATCAGATGCATGGATCCTCCTCACCTCTGATCCAGATAAATTAATATAGATTTCTTTTATTTCTCACACCTTTAGTTGCTGCATGATATTCTATAATGTGGATGTGCTATAACCTATTTAACCATTTCTCTATAGAATGACATTTACATTTTTAACAAATTCTTTTTTTGCTACTACAAACAATGGTGCAATAAATATCATTGTAATATAACTTATACTGTGGTGATTGTCTGTAAACTAGAGCATGTAAACTGGGACTGTTGCATTAAAGAGTATGTATGTTTTTTAATTTTAATAGATATTGCCAAATTACTTTCCAAGTGACCACAGTTAATAATTCTGCTAGAAAGTTCAGGAAAGACTTGTTTCCCAACATCTTAGCCAACACTAGACTTTTCATAGATTGGAAAACTTAATTTTGTTAAGATATCAATACTACCCAAAGTGATCTGCATATTCAGTGCAATCCCTATCAAAATCCCAATGATGTTTTTTGAAGAAATAGAAAAATCCATCCTAAAATTCATATGGAATCTTAAAAGACCCTGAATAGTCAAAATAAGCTTGAAAAAGAACAAAGTTGGAGGATTCACTCTTCATAATTTCAAAGCTCACTACAAAGCTATAGTAATCAAAATGGTGTGGTACTTGCATAAAGATAGACATATAGACCAAGCCAATGGAATAGAGAACCCAGAAATAAACCCTCACATATATGGTCAAATGGTTTTTGACAAGGATGCCAAGACCATTCAATGGGAAAAGGAAAATTGTTACAACATATGGTGCTGGGAAAACATATAGTGCTGGATATGCACATGCAAAAGAGTGAAACTGGGCCCTTATCTTCCACCACATACAAAAATTAGCTTAAAATAGCTCAAAGACCTAAAAGTAAGTGTTAAACTATAAAATTCAGAAGGAAACATACAGGGAAATTTTTATGACATTGGATCTGGCAATGATTTCTTGGATATGACACCAAAGGCACAGTCAAACAAAGAAAAAATAGACAGACTTTATCAAAATTTAAAATTTATTCATCAAAGGACAATATTAATAAAGTAAAAAGGTAGCCCATAGAATGAGAGAAAATACTTGCAAAAATATGCACACTGTACTAAAAGTGTTATATCTGTATATTTATATATATAATTATATTCATTGTAAAGATATATATATTTATACAGTTAAATATAAAATTGTATATTATTACTTTTTTCCAAGTTTAATTGAGAAATAATTGTATATATTTAAATTGTACAATGTGAAGATTTGATGTACATCTACGTTGTGCAATGATTACCAAGATCAAGGTAATAAACACATCATGATTCCAGTTCAAGATGGCAACATAGGAAGATCTTGAACTCACTTCCTCCCGTGGACACACTGAATCTACAGCTATATATAGAACAATTTCCCCCGGAAAAATCCAAACACTAGCTGAGCAAATCCAACACATCGGGTGAAGGATTTACTCACATCAAAATGGATAGGAGAGGTTGTGCCACAACGTCACCATAAACCATACCCCTAGCACAGCAACCCACAATCAGGAGGGAACTCAAACTTCCATCTTCTCCCTGAGGAGCAAAGGGTTTGAACCCCATATCAGGCACCCAAAATTTCCATACTTGCACCTGAGAGATGAGTCCCCAAAACATCTAGTTTGAAAGCCAACAAGGCTTGCAACCACAAGACCCACAGGGCTGTAGAAACAGTTTTTTCAGAGGCAGCTGAGTGAAAGGCACCCAGATTTTCTGTGAAAGAGGCTTATGTACTTACCTTAAAGCACTGGCCTGAGGGACAGGCATCTAATTTAACATACATCTAAGGGCCTACTGAAATACTCTCTGGTGACAGAGGCTGGCAGGTACAGTCTTCGTGCTCTTTCTCTACCTCACTCCAGCTCACTGGTATATCCCAGAAAGGAACTTGTACTCTTGTCTGGTGCCCTGATTTTTGTGGCTGCCACCCAGGGGAACACCTGTAGATTGCCTGGCTCTGGTGGGCAGAGGTGCTTATGCTCACGAGTCCCACAGGACTGTAACAAATGGAGACAGAGTTCTCAACCAGCTACCACCCCCCAGGGCAAAGCAGAGAGCTAACAGACTGAGGAGTCCAGTGTTTCTGTAAAAGGGGCCTATTAGCTCATCTTCATAGCTGTGGCCTGAGAGGCAGGTTTCTAATTAACATACATCTAAGGGCCAGCCATAATTCTCTTCAGAGACTTTGGAGGGCAGGTGCGATCTTCACACTCTCCCTCTGCCAAACTCCAGAGCACCTATATCTCCCAGAGGGGAACTTGTACACATATCCAGTGCCCTGGTTTTTACCTCTAGTGCCCTGGCTTTTGTGACTGCCACCCAGGGACACCTCTTGATCACATGGCTCTGGTGGTAAGTAGGACTTGTGTTCATGGGTTCCATGGGACTATAACAAATGGAGAGACAGTTCTTGACTGGCTGCCACCCCCAGCACACAGTGCAGACAGCAGACTGAAACACACCCCAAGTCTTTCCGTGAAAGAGAGCTATTTGCTTGTCCTGGAGCTTCAGCCTGAGGGGCAGGCTTCTGCTTTGGCACACATCTAGGAACCTAATTGGGTGCTTTCCAGGATGAAAACTAGTGGATAACAACTTTTGCTTTCCCCTGCCTCACTCCAGATCATTGGTATCTCCAAGATATGAGCTTATACCATCGTCTGGCACCCTAGTTTTAGCAGCTGTCACTCAGGGTACACCTTAGGTTGCCTGGCTCTGGTGGGCAGCAGGACTTATGCTTGCAGTCCCACAGGACTGTGTATATTTGAATACTTTAAAAACTGCTTCCTGAGGGTCAGGAGTCCAATCAGCCTGAATTGAGGTGCTGATTGAGATCCTCCACTTTGGGACACTGACAAGTCTTGGCACACCCTCAACTACTGGGACCCACTAAAAAAATAAAGTAGGCTGATAGACAATCACAAAGGTTTGAGAGACAACCAA